AATTCTTGCCACGAAAAGAGAGTAACTTAGGGTAGTGAAATTGTGATATTCGTTGAAAATGTGTCACAAGAGGATATTAAATCTTGGGAAATTATCGCTAATATTTTAATTTTACGAAAATCGTAAAAAAAACCCCAATTTCTCAAAACCTCGCCCACACCTTTTTTTTCAATTTTTGAGATTTTTTGACAAAAAATACCTTTACGGTAGTCTTTCTACCATAATACATTTTTAATGTATTACGGTAGAAAAACTACCGTAATAGTGTGAAGACACGTTACGGTACTTCGAGTACTATAATGAACATTACAGTAATTTAAGTACCGTAAAGAATATTATGGTAATTTAAGTACCATAAATAACATTACGGTACTGTAATTACCGTACTACATAAATATATTCTTCACGGCATTCTTAGTACCGTAATGCTTTGAAAAGTTTCAAACCGAAGCTAATATCAGGGTTATCCCTCTCCTCCCGCATTCTACGAAATCAAAACCAAGGGACACATTTTTTTTTGCAAAATCCCAAAAATCTTTATCTAATATTTAATTTTCGAATAAATACAGAGCAAAATTGAAACAAATAACAGTTTTTTTCTTTTTTTTTTTAATATATATACCGTATACAGATTACCCACCAATATGTGGTTATTTTTCAAAGCATACGGTACTAAGAATGCCGTGAATAATATATTTATGTATTACGGTAAGTAAAGTACCCTAATATTTTTTATAGTATTTAAATTACCGTAATGTTTATTACGGTACTCAAAGTGCCGTAACGTATCTTCACACTATTACGACAATTGTAAATGGTATTTTCATCCAAAAAAGACTATCGTAAATGGTATTTTCATCCAAAAAATATCAAAAATTGAGAAAAGAGATGTGGGCAAGGTTTTGAGAAGTTGGAGGTTTTTTTTTACAATTTTTTTAAAATTAAATTATATTAACAATAATTTCCCTTAAACCTAGCATCCGTGCTAAAGGATTAAACAAACTTAAACTCAAGATAGTGAAACATCACCTATGAGGAAAGATGCTATACCTAGTCACGTCTACTGGAGCATGCTGTAGTATGATCCCTAGTCACGTCTACTCTACTGTCTCACTTTTTCAATGGGCTTGTACGACTTTCTATATAAAAAGGGTTACAATCACTTTTAGCCATTGGATGAAAATCCGTCGAGTTACAATGTATTACAACATTTGATAAATTTTATACATCTCGAACGATATCTAACGATGAATAATAATTGTGATCATCCTTATACCAAAACTAAGTGATCTTATATAAACATTTCCTTTTTTTATTGTTTATTTATTTTAGAGTTTTTTATTGCTCATCACTCCGATTTGAACTGGGGAAGTAGCTTACATTTGTCAAAACAGACCATCAAGGACGGCGCAAACCACGTTTCATCTTGTTCTCATTGACCTCTTTCTTTTTGGTCTCATTGGAAAAAATATTAAATAAAGTTGTCAAACATTACAAAGTTATTGTTAAACTGATCAAATCATCCAATGATTTTGCCTATTTTTCAAATTCAAAAATCAAAAGTAACTATTTTGTTGTTAAATTAGTTATTTGACCACCTTTTGATTTCATTAAATAGTTTGGAGATATTTTCTTATTAAGTTATTCAATTTAAAATTTGCCACAAGATATTCTACTCACTCGGGAGTAGATTGTGCATTTACTTCCTCGGGTAAATCAAGACGTAGAATTAATTTAAGGAAACCAAATTTTGGCAACCTATAGATTAATCTCAATAAAAAAGATTTTATAATTGTGCCCTCTATGCACTTAAAAAAATAATGTCCTCGAGATTGAATAGAGACCATCCTGTTTTTAGGTGGTGAGATATAAGTGTTAGCAAACTCAAATTTTAATTTTTAAAAAATAATTATTTAGTAATTCTTAAGTGATTCCCAAAATTTCAGATTGAAAAATCTTCTTAAATAGATCTATCTTTTATAAAAGGGTTAAATTACTCTAGCGCACATATGTCCCTGGTATCGTTGAGAATGACACTTACTCTAGCGCACATATGTCCCTGGTATCGTTGAGAATGACACTCTCAAAGTCTGGGAGGGAGTTATTTCACAAGTCGTTTTGGAAAGATATTTCTCTAATTAAAAAGTCTTTTTAAATTAAATAATAAATATAGTATTTTTAAAAAACTATTAAAAATAAAATGATATATATATATATATATATATTTATATATAGAGTACGTGAAGCCTCATGGCCACACACTTACTAACAATATTGTCTGAGACTAATGGACAGATTGATGTTCATAAAGTGGTTTATTTTCCACTATCAGACAAGGAAAATGGACAGAGGATGCACCACCTCCATATAGTAGATGATACACATTTGAATATATGTTATAGATTCCCTTTTCATAAAGGAGAAAAATGAGAATCGATCATTAAGGATAGGAATGGGCAGGGTACTTAGACCAACCAATGCTCTAGTTGTTAAACTTGGCCTCGGGGTCAAGCTAGAACTAGAAATCTAGCCTTGGTAGCCAGGCTAAGGGCCAAAGGACATGCTCCATGATTGGCTTGACATGTTCCAACCTTTTATTCTTTATGTTTATTTATTTTTAATAATTTATATTAGGCCTTAATACCGCATGTCAATGAAGTTGAAGGGCAAATTGTAAATGACAATTGTGAGACCAACTTTGCTCTATAGAATAGAATATTGGGTAGTCAAGTAGCAAGATACCCATATGAAGAGTATAGCAGAGGTTAGGATGTTGAGATGGATGGGTGATAAGACAAAAATGGTAAAAATTTGAAATGAATACATTTGAAAAAGTGTGGCACCAATAAGTGGATAATATGAGAGAAAGTAGATATACGTGAGTTAGCCATGTATAACGCAGACTCAATACAACACCTGTTAGAATTTGAAATGAATATATTTGATTGTTTAGATGCTCGCTCTATATAAACTTTTCCTTTTAATAAATAACCTAATTTATCAAATTCCTCAACATTATATCATAGTTGAAAATTGAATAATAAATAAATTAAGTTACCTCGGATTTAACGATGTGGTCATAAAGTCATCACATTCAAACCAATACATTGGACGGTGATGGAAAAAGTAATTGAGCTAATTAAATGTTTTACGAGACCCACGTACTCCCATCACCGTCAGATCCATTGATGGGGCATTGATTAGACTTATGACCATATTATTCTTTGGAAAATTATTTCATGGGTCGGGGATCATATTTCTATATTTGCGGTCCCAGAGGTATATAGTATCTATCTTAAAGATGATGCAAATAGGTGGTCCATCTAAAAACAATTGAAACTAACTATCTAAATGTTTTTTAATAAAATTATTATGTTTAATTTTCAAAATTTATTTATTTTTTCATGCTCATGATCTCTATGTTAGAGATTACATGTCTTTAAAAATTAAGTCAAAAAATAGATTTCAAAAATAGATGGACCCTTGATAAATCTATTTTTGAGTTGAATTTAAGAGTTTATTTTTTAGGATTTATAATCTCTAACATGGAGATCATGAATATGAAAAATAAATAAAAATTAAAAATTAAAAATTATAATTCTAGGAAAAAAAGTATTTGGATAGTAAGTTTATGTCCTTGCAGTCATCTATAAAATGGCTGCTTTGCATTTTTTGGACCGCATATGTAGAAATGAAGTCTAGCCCGCATGAAACAATTCTCAAAAAATAGATTTTTAAGAGGTGACTCAATTTTGACATGCAGTCATATAAACCGTGTGCTTGTTCTTTTGATCCTTAAAAATCATAGTTTCTTTTACCTAACGTAATCAGGAAAGTTTGACTTTGTACTCGGTGCGTAGGGGTCTTGATATTTTGTGAAAACGATTGGCATATGAAGCAAGTAATCCCTTCGGGACAACCATATTATACATCTACTCCTTCAGATAAGAGAGCCATTCCCTTCATTTTTCCGGTCGAACTTTTTGAAATTCACCTAGAGATAATCATCATCTTCAGAGTTTTTTTTAATAATTGGAGTCGGCTACCTATGGATCACTATTATTTGAATTAAAAATTAATATTTTTTATTTTTGTACACTTCAATATAATTGTCTAAAAATTGAAAAACCTTTATTTTCTAGGACATACAAAGTATTTTTGCTTCCCTTTTTGTTTTCATTTTTTTTTTTGAGATTGGCCCAATGTTGAAGAGGTTACATTTCTAAAAAAATATTGGAAAAAAATATGATATAAGATGTCCACCTCGTACTACAGAAGGTGCACTTAAAAATCCACTTGAAAGGGTTGTTTTGACATAAATAAAAAACTTATTATTGATCATCTTGACCTCGATATATATATATATATATATATATATATATGTGAAGAAAGAAAGAACTTCAAATCTTTTAAATTTTTTTAAAGTATTTATAGATCTTCAGATTTACACTATTTTTAGAGCTTTAAATTTAATGTCAAGAGGTGCAAATAGAATTTTTGGCAATCTTAGGGGTTTCCCTTGTCGAAGCCGCATCTTTCATGTTATCAAATTCACTTTGCTTTACTCGAAAGGGCCGGAGTCTTCAAATTTTCAGCCTAGATCAAAGTGAATCGAAGCTCTGATGCATCTGCTTCGCCCTACTTTGTTCCGATTTGGCCCACTTCGGTCTAATTCAGCCACCTTCGGCCGAAACATATAATTGTTTTTTCTTAATTATTTTTATTTTTTATTATTTTAATAATTTTTACATAAATATATGATTAATTTATATTAAATTTTTTCAATCTTCCAAAGCTTTCTTCCACATCAGTTTTTTTTTTCAAACAAATCAAAGAAAGCTCCAAAGAAAATCCCCTTATACAAACAACACCCAAATTTATTATCCTAAAAATTCTTTGGACCTAATTTTACTAAAGGAAATGCTCTCGAGGGAGCATAGAATCATTCCACTATTTTTCATGCATTAACCCAAATAGGAAGCTTCCAAGATGCGACTTTGTGAAATTTCTGAGACACTACAAATTGCTTTTACCTCTGAAACTTAGGTCTTGGTGATTAGTGTCTATACATATGCATCATATCTATCAAACATTTCTCCCTCTCACTTAATAAATCATCTTTTGATCTTCTCTCAATTCTCAACTGAAAATCAACAGCAGGCAAAAGGTTTTCAGATAATTCCATCTGAGAAAATGTTGAAGAAAAGCTTCAAACCTGGAAAATGGTGAGATTTCCTTTGAGAAACCCATACATAATTTCTTTCTTTTTTTTTTTGTTTTTGCAACTTTTTGATATTCCTATGGATATTCATGTCCACGATCACTGATTGGGGTTAGAGTTTTCTCTATCTTGTTTTCCTTCTTTGCTGAATTTTCATTTCTCACTTTCTCTCTATTTATCTCTGTCGCCCCTTTTTTCTTATTTGCGGAGATCTATGGAGATTTCTATGAATTAGATTTCTCTGGTATGAATTATCTTCCGATGAATTGTGCGTTCTGGTTTATGTTAGTGACGATAGTTTTGTGAATTGGTTTTTTCTTTTTGTTTTTTTTTATCCGTTTCTTTTTTTGTGAAATTGGGATCTGTATGAGGTCGGAGTAATGATGTTTCTTTATAATTTGTGCTTCTTTTCATGGATTTATTGGGAAATTTAGAACTCAAATATATTTTCTTTCTTGCTTTCTACAATTTCAGCTAAAAAACAGCTCTGCAATTTTTATTTTTAAATTACATTTTCTTTGGGCCATAGGATTTTCTGGTTCAATATAGTGACTGACTTCCATGGTGTTTGTTTATGCCTGTGACTTGGTTTTTTTCTTTTTTGTTTTTTCAATTGTTGATTGATTTCTTGATTTCTTTGTCTTTTTCTCTTTACACCATTTATTGTTCTTTTAGTTTTTCATGAATACCTTTGCTTGGTTAGTGTGGGATTTGAGCCCCTCAACCTGGGGTCTTTGAATCATGAGCAAGTTTCTATTTTTGTAGATTTTTTAAGTGAATTAATTATAAAAAAATAGATTTTCTTTACATAATTGATTCTTTTTTTTTTCCTCTTTCTTTTTTCATGTATGCTTCTGCTTGACAAGTATAAGATTTGAACCCCTCAAACTGGGTCTTAGAACCATGAGCCAGTTTCTAACTTTGTAGGGGTTTTTTTTTTATGTAATTGATTATCAATTATAAAAAATTCAGAGTTTTGGTTCTTATTTGGTTATGATTTGTGGGTGCAGCAAGACGTCACTGAAGCTCGCCATTGCACGAATCAAGCTTATGAAGAACAAGAAAGGTGTTCAATTGAAGCAAATGAAGAGGGAATTAGCCCAGCTTCTCCAAGCTGGACAAGAGCAAAATGCTAGAATTCGGGTTAGTTTATTTCTTAAATCTCCAAGTTCAATCGTGTTAAATCAAATTCTATAGTGATTGTATACTTACAACTATCAAATTGGAAGTTAAGCATTTTATGTGAGTAAGCTGAGATGGCACCTAACATAGAATCTGAGAATCATTATTTCATATTCCACTGCTGGGTCATTTTTGTTGATCCATACCATTAAACATCATGTCTTTACCCTTAGTTACCAGTTACCTCTGTTGTTTCTTTTGCTTTTTATTTCAGTCCTAGTTTTCCTTTTGGTCGTATATGATCTGCTTTGTTTTTGTCTTAATTTGTCGAGGAACTTGGATGATTTGGAGAATATAGGCTTTGCAATTTTTATATTGTAAGGTTTAAGTGCATGAAGTTGTTGCTTCACTGTTAGTTTAAAATCCTATTCTTCCTTTAGTTAATTTTCCATGTTCCACTGAATTTGTTGGAGCCCTATATATTTAAGTGAGCCTCTTCTACTCCCTCCCAAACAAGCCAATGTACATTCTTTTGGAATATCTCTAGCGGGACAATGACACTCCATTGTGAAACTATCCTCCACAATGTTAGCTAATCTCTAGGGAAAGACCATCTTTTTCCCGGACCATCTGATTATGTCGAGTGTATCAATATTTATAATCAGAAGTTTGAGAAGTGACATAATCAGAAGTTTGAGAAGTGACAGAAGAAATTGTGGCCTACCTAAAGATATCTAACTAGTACTGCTTCATTCTTTAATTTCTCACACTGGCTGCTGTGAATGATACAATACATAGTTAAACAAACTGTAAATGCAACTTGGCTTTGGTTCGGAATGGGTCAAGTTATAGGTGGTCAGGGTGGCATGCGCCACAACATGATGTCTTGAGTTCCGTCCATTCCACGGGTAGGGGACATTTTCCCCACTGAATTATCCCCCTCCCCCCCCCTGCCCCCCAAAAAAAAAAAAAGCTCTGGTTGAAATCTAGTGAAATGCATCAATGAGTGAAGATTGTGTATGATATCTATTAAGTCATGCATCATGACTGAAAAGTTATACCATAGTCTGTTATAAAGTTGATCCTTCAAAATACTTGTTTAGCTAGATTGTCTCATGAAAAGGATAAGCTCCGCATGGTTGTTTATATGATTGGACACATTGATATAGGCTGATTCGAATGCTTTTTGTAAAGCCACAGTTACAATACGAGAAAAGTAAGCGGTTAAAACTTATGGCTCAAAGTGCAGGCTTTTTGTAGGCATCAGATAATGTTTATGGGAAAGCTTTCTATGTTCCCCCAACACATAGAAGTTCTATCCTCCCCCTTATCCAACCGTCCATTTTTGAATGGAGGGTTAAGATTGCCCCAATGGAGGGTTAAGATTGCCCCAATCACAATGTAACGTCTCTACACTGTTTTATTTTTAATTTTTTTTTCTATAAACTGTTTTGGCACCAAATTTTGGACGTCCATTCCTCTATTAAATTCGCACTAACGGAAAATATAAAAAAAATATTTTTAATAAAATAAAATGACCAAAATTCTCCTGAAAGTTTCGAGGGGTATTTTGGTCATTATTTTTTATCAAAAAATTACTGTTAATTTTTTTTTTATAGGTGCGCCTCAATGAGAAGATGGCACATAAAAAAGTTCATATTCAGAAAAAAAGTATTAAAAAAATTAAAAATAAAATACTTTGAGATGTCGGATCTAATATCAAATGGTGAGTGCTCTCTTGATAAAAAATGGACGGCTGGATGGTAGGGGTTGTAGGGGGAACATAGAAAGCTTTCCCAATGTTTATTGTGTCCCTCTTTTACACATCAGTTTTAGGTAAGGATTTGTCTAGTTATTGGCCACAGTCCATGAGGAAGGGACCATCTAGATACATTTAGGCTTTATGTTTTTTTATTACATCCTTTCAAAGAAGTGAACTTAAAAATTCTATTCTATAATTTCTTGTTCCAGAAAAAAGCAGTCTCCAAGATTGATCTTAGATGAGATAAGATGTTTTTTCTTAAAATCAACCATCATATGGGAATTTTTGGTATTGTGAATCCCTTTCTCCATTCGCATAACCTTTGACCTCAGTTTGGATCTAATTATTGATTTCCTAAGAATGGACATGTAACCATTCTTAACCTCTTTCCTTCTGTTGTTTTCTTCATTCTTCAAATATCTTATTTTCTCTAGTTATCTAATAGTTGAAGTTCCTGAGCTGAGCCCTTTCAACAGATTTGTTTTCTTGGTGTGTATTTTTTGAGAACTTCTTTGTTTCCATTTAAGATATCCTTTTATAAACTTAATTTTTTTTTGAAAGTGTTAATTTATAAACTTAAATTTTATATGGAAACAAATTTGGCCCAGCTTTCAGCCTTTTTCATATGCCTTTTTGGACGCCAATTGTTTTTTTACACATCAAACCATTATGATACATGTCTTATTAATGGAAATAGATTCTTATTATGACAAGGAATCTTTATAGGATAATTAGGATTGCATATGTTTATATGTTTAAGGCCTTTTCACAAACAATATTATTGTATTCTGGCATTGCTTTGAAAATATAGACCAATTCTTAGTTCAGCAGCAGACTGCTTCAGTCTTGTTTCTCATAGATATAGAGTTTTTAATTTTCTATAGAAATGGATTTCTTCAAGCCCTTGATATGGAGTCTGACCTTGGAAGGCCTAAAATAGCTTTCCATTGACTTGCCTCTGTGTTATTCTGTTCTTCTAGGAAGTTTTTGTGTTTTCTTCGAGGAAATTATAACTCATTACCAAAAGATAGTAGCCTAGGACTTCTCTACTCTCTTAGAATCTATGTTACAAGGACAAAGATATGAGAATCTGTGTCTGACTTGGGTACAAAGAATGCTACTCAGTGAACTCACCTACTTGTATTTTGCAAAGTCCAGGATGATACATAACATCCGTACAAGTCCTTAAAACAGGAAGTGTATGCATATTTTCATATATGGAATTAATTTGTGAACTCTTGATAATAAAATTAGCCTAAAAAAGTAAAACTTGTAGGGTCCAAGAAATCATAGGCACGTGTTACAGAATGAACACTCATGTCTTATAATGCAGACACGTATGTCCATTGCTCAAAAAAGCGGACCACCCAGCGCTTAGGCGGTCTAGTAGGCCTGGGCCCATTGGCCAGGCCTAAGTGGCCAAACTAGGCAGCAGTCCCTGTACAGCCGCCTAGGCCGTACGGAACCCGCCTAGACGGGCGCTCAGTGCCCAGGGCTTGGGCCCCTCCTAGGGGCGGAGATTTTTTTTTTTGTATTGATTTTTTTTGAAACATCAAGGGTTTTAAGGATAGGTTTTATGTTCATTTGAAACCTAAACTCACAAGAACACATTTTAGAGAGAAAGAAACCTCAAGAAAACTAAATTTTGTGACTTTCATTGGATCGAAATGTTTTTCGAAGTTACGAAAAACGGATCCAACATCACCCAGGTAGATTTGATTTAGTTTTGGAGTTTTATAATCCTATTAGAGGGTCTTTTTTATTATTTTAGCACCAAAAAACATCTCAGAGGTGGGAGTTTGGGGTTCGAGCAACCCAAGTAAGTGCAAAACTTTATTTTTTAGATTGCTTGTTTTATTTTGAGATGTCTTCTTCAGGATCTAGTCGAAGTGGTGATCCGGGTTGGAAATATGGATATAACCTGAATCCAAATGATAAAAATTGCATAAAAATTGCAGTAGATGCAATTTTGTGAAAAAGATACAAAAGGTGGCATAAACTAGTTTAAGAAACATCTTACCGGTATTAAGGGGGATGTTGCCCCTTGTAAAAATGTTCCTGAAGCTATTAGAGAGGGGATTATACAATATATGAGTTATGTGAAACAAAAACAGGAATAAAATCTGTGTCATTTGAATAGATCTATTTCTGCTACTTCTAAAAGAAGTGATCCGGGTCGGAAATATGGTTATAACCCAAAACTAAACAATCAAAATTGCATAAGTTGTAATTTTTGTGAAAAAGATACCAATGAGGGTATTAATCGATTCAAGAAACACCTTGCTGGTATTAAAGGGAATGTTGCTTCTTGTAAAAAAGTTCCTGAAGCTATTTGGGATGAGATTAGACAACTTCTGAATTTAAAAGAACCAGAAAATGATGAAAATGAGCCTTGTTCTATGGCAATATCTTCTCCAAGTTCTTCTAAAAGTGGTGATCTGGGTTGGAAGTATGGTTATAACCCGAATGCGAGTGACAAAAATCGTATTAAATATAATTATTGTGGAAAGGATACTAATGGGGGCATTTACTGGTTTCCGATTTAAAAAACACCTTGCTGGTATTAAAGGGGATGGTGCCCCATATAAAAATTTTCCTGAGGCTACCAAGAGGAAATATACAATATTTGAGTTCAGGGAAGGACAAAAAGATAGAAAAGGGTAGAGCTGCCAAGACTCCTAGGGCCTCATCTATACATATTAGTAAGAGGGAGGTAGAAGAAGAGGAGGAGGGAGAGGCAGGTTTAGAAGAAATAGAGGAGGATAAGTATTATATTGAATAGGGAGATGACTCTGATGATGATGGCCTCGAATCTGATGCATACGATGAAGCTTACCCTATTCCTTCTGATGACGATGATGAATATGATGACTGAAGACTCTTAGTGTTGAGTGTTGACTGTTGTGTTGAGTGTTGACTATTGTGTCCTAGATTGTATATTTTTTGAATTTCTGTATATTTTCTTTTTCGTATTTTTAGTTTCTACTTTCTAGTTTCTAGTTCTACTATCTAACTTTTGTGTGTATTGTCTACAATGTATTAGACTATCAGTGTATGCTTGTATGGTTTTACTGTTTTAGCATTTTATGAAAATATGGATTATGGTCTTATGGATTATCAAAATTCTCTTCTGGACTTCTATCTTTTTTTCTTAACTGGGCTTATGGTCTTATGGATTATCAAAATTCTTATGGATTATGGTCTTATGGATTATCAAAATTCTAATGGATTAATCACTATCAGTCATCAGTTTTTTTTTTTTTTTCAAGTAGGCACTGGGCAGCCTGGACCCCCATGGCCGCCTGGGTGCCGCCTAGCGTTTTTTGAAACACTGCGTGTGCCTAACAATGAGGACACTTGTGCCTTGTTTTTCCAATCCTTGCATCCAAAAATGAAAAATTTCACCTTGCGTGTTGGACATGGATTTCCTATGTCATGTATCGACACACATTCCTAGTGTGATGGTGTGTCAGGCTCTCCTAAAGGCATGTTTTTACATAGCTCGATTTAAAACCCCAGTTTCCCTTGAGAAAGTACTCTTAAACCCATACAACCTTCTCTCATATTTCTTTTGTTTCTTATTCCATGTTTGATGGGGGTCTTTTTTTATTGTCTGGGGTAATGAGGAAAAGACACTAGAAAAAATTGATATGCAACCATTGGAGTTGTGGGGAAACTTTATATGCACTATGTTAACCTTTACATTATTGTGTATTTTAGTTATTTCCCTTTATAAATGATGAAAATACCCCTATTCAAGAACACAAGGCGATTTAGTGTCCAAGAACATTTGTGGTGTTATGTGTGTGTGCATGGGTTGGTGTATGCATAAGTGTACCATTGCCCGGCTTGGTATGTTATTTTGCTATTATAGAAGTTTCAAATTCAAAGACCTTCATTTGGAAATAAATAAACTTAAATTAAGAGAAATGATCTTGTAGAGAATTTGAGCTTTAGGTATTTTATAGAAAAGAGCAGGATCAATAGACGCTAGGCCCACTTCGAGATAAGATATGACTTGTACTATTTAACCTGGTTGGCAGGTTAACTGACAAACCTGCTTGGCTACGCAGTATTTATCCCCTACTTAAAAAGTGCCTGTCTCTTGTAGTTTTCTTCTCCCCATCTTTAGGTAATTCATCTGGATTTGTCATTTGCGACTATTCCTGGGCTTCCCATGGAAAATGGGATTTTGTTTCTTCCAGACTTCTCTCTCTCTCTCTTTCTCTCTCTCTCTCTCTCTCTAAAGGTACACAATGAAAATCCTCACCAGGATCTTGACACTCTCAAAAAGACCATAACAAGAGTTGCATTTGGTCTCATGAGAAAATCTCTAGATATAAGAAGCTACCAGTAATATTGCAGATGTGTGTAAAATAGGGTCAGTGGTCTCATTAATCAGATACAAACCTTGTAAATTAAAGTTTTTGCATCATTCTAACACGAGCATAACAGTAGGGTAAAAGTGGTATGTATCCAGCGGTTGTTGGTAACCTGTTTGGTTGATGGTTCTTTGGTTCACTAGTTTGAAACCATTGCCTCTTCCACTAGTGTTTCTGTTATTGTCTGCCATCATCTGTTTTTTGTACCAATTGAGAACATATTAGTACCCATGAAAAATCTCTATATAAGTCATATTCTGAAAGCTTGCCTTGATACTTCATTTTGTGCATTGTATTTATGTTAATAAAATTTTATTAGACTTGAAAATCTTATTTAGATTTGAAAATTTTATACCCGGCATATGATAAATGCTTGAATCTTTATTTCTTATACCCGGCATATGATAAATGCTTGAAATCTTTATTTCAATTTGAAAGTCTTGTATCTTATGTAAGTTGTATGATATGCTTTGATCTTTTAAGAGCACTTAGAATCGTTGAACCTAGGTTTGGGAATTACTTATTTCCAGTAGCAAATCATATGACTTAGACTTGTTTTGATTTTCAGGTTGAACATGTGATACGAGAGGAAAACACAAGGGCAGCATATGATATCATTGAACTATTTTGTGAACTCATTGTAGCACGCTTGCCAATTATTGAGTCCCAAAAGTATGTAATTCCATACTCCTCTATCCAACTTTCACTGTCCAATTCCGTGTAATGGTTTCTGTTATCTTACTAAAATGCATGTTCAGAATAATTTACATAGTATTAAATCATTGATTTCTTCTATCGGCTTTGATTCGCTGGGGCAGCAAATACCCTCCAAAAAAGTTGGCCAAAGTCTATTTTGTTATATTATATCAATTTGGAAAAAAGGTCATCTCCTCTGAAACTCAATGCCTTAGAATCAGGAGTTTCAAATGATATTGAAATATTTGATATTTCATGTGTTCCTCCTGTTTTTTTTAAAGCTATTGGTAGCGATAGAATTTTATGAAGAGATACCATAGACAAGTTAACATATTAGTTGTATAAAAGACCTGAAAATTACTTGCATCACATATAACTAGGCTCCTGATTCTCATCAATGTAAGGAATGGCCTCTGGCAATGGTCCAATCCTTAAGTTGCTGCTAGAAATTTTCCTGTAGGAATGGTTATGTCAGTTTTGAGAGCAAAGGAACCACCTAAGAATGAGTTTTTGTGGAACTAAGGTCAGCCCTCTAGCAGAAGTGTAATTGGAGAAACCAACCTAACTGGACACTCTCTCTCATTCTTTCTCCCCCCCATAAGTCCTACATTTACTTGTATGGGCTTTAAACATCAGTGACCACTTATATGGAGAGGAGATTCATTCCTTTTTGGGACTTATTTTACACTCACTGAAACACTGGTTGTGGAAAAATAAGAATGCATGCTGAATACCTCGTAGCTTTTATGTACCAAAATACTCTAGAATTTAGGAAAGTTAAACAGAACTGATATAGACAAATCATAAGGTATGCCTGCAAATATATGGGCTTTTGTGACAAACTATCAAAATGAATGCAAGTTCACTTACTAACGGGGCATAATAGGACACTGCCGGAGTCTCTCACTCCAAATTTTCCCTTATAATCTATAACTATGAATTAAGGGCATGACACTCTGCTCTTAACTGGTTGTTGAACCAAGAAGGTAAACATGTGGAGGCTATATGTTTTGGTCCCCTGGAATATGGTTTTTAGTTTATGGACCACCCAAGATTATCACCTTATGAAAGAGCATATAGATAAGGATCATATAAATAAATGCTATTTAATATTGAGAGATTCATCGAACATCAGCCCCATTTTTTGTCCTAATTGCAAAATTCCCTTAAAAGACATGCCATAACGGGTCATTAATGGGTTAGAAATTGCTGGATGTGTAGTTTCCAATTTGCTTCTCCATCAATACAAAAGTACTTAGCTGAAAAAACCTATATGAGATATTGACAGTGTTTCAAAAAGTGCTAGGCTGCACCTAGGTGGTCTGGGGGGTCCAGGCCGCCCAGTGCCTAGGCGGGCGCCCAGAACTTGGGCGGCCCAATATAAATTCTTTTTTTTTGGGTTTTCCTCTCTCTAAAATAGACTCTAATAGGTTTTAGGTTTCAAATGAATCTAAAACCCACAATGCACTTTTAGTATTAAAAAATGACCAAAAAATACCTGCAACGAGGGGCATTTTCGCCCCTGGACGGCCGCCTAGGCGGATTCCTGGGCGCCTAGGCGGGCGCCCAGTGATATCTGTTTTTTTTGGGCGCTTCGCCTAGGCCCCCAGAACTGCCTAAGCGGCTGCCCAGGAGCTGGGCGATCCGCTTTTTGAAACACTGGATATTGGTATATTGATATACCAATGTCAACACCCAATGAGATATTGCTATTTTCAAACACAGATATCTCACTAGGTAAATTATCATGGTATTTGTATTTTTGAACACCAATATCTGCTAAGTCACCTTGTGAGATATGAGTACTTTTTAATACCATCTCACGGGTGTTAAATTCCACAAGACATTGATGTTTCCAACCCTACAACTAAAATGAATATATACATCTTTGGAATTTAAATAAAAATTAAAAACTAGAATAATTTTGTCCTCAATCGGTACCTTACTGGGCTTTTTGCATGTAATGTAAAGGGAATGAGTGAAATTTTAGATAGTCAATCTCTCGGGAGTGTTTTGATAAATTTTCCTTTAATTTTATTAAGTAGCATTTGTTGTGTTTGAAAATAAATATTTGCGATTCGAATGCCAATATCTCACTAGGTCACCCTCATAGGGTGTTTAGAGTGAGATGCTGGTATTTTAAAATCGCATATGTTTTCTAAAATCCACTTCATTTTTTATGTAGGGGCAAATTTGGAGATCGCCTCTTCATCAATGTGTGACATGTTATAATATGTAGTTGACGTGTACTTTGATGGGCTTTTCAGAAGTAGTACAGAGGGAAGGAGTGAAATGATAAATAGTGAATCTCTTGGTAGTGCATTGATAAAATTTACCTTTAATTTTACTAAGTAGCATTAGTTGTGTTTGAAACTTTAGAGCTTTTCCGCCATTTAAAGCAGCCTATGATGCAATTTATAAAAGCAAATTAACAGTAGATAAACGTATAAAATGGAGGCCACTACAATATACAATGCCAAGTACATGGGATGGAAGTGCCGCTGAGAAACATTCTAGTAAATCCTTATTTAGCTAGAGTGCCCGCAACCTAATTAGCCTCCATAAAACATGTGAGGATAAAAATCAAATGATTCCCATATAGAGAATTCATATTAGGGGAGGAGTGAAGAATTTATGGAGTTTCTTAACTCCCACCGCCAACCCACCTAGAATAACATTTTATAATCTGTATACTTAGATGTTTGCTGATTCTTATATTTGAGCCTGCAATTGTTTACTGCTAATTTTTTATCCCTATTGTCTTTCTTTGTTATCCCTGTTGTCTTTCCTTTGTAAACTAATTATCATTTATTATCTCTTTACCCCATTCAGGCATTGCCCCATTGACTTGAAGGAAGCTATTGCCAGTCTAGCATTTGCTTCTCCAAGATGTGCGGATATACCAGAATTGCTAGATGTACAGAAGCATTTTGCAGCAAAGTATGGGAAAGATTTTATTTCATCTTCCCTTGAGCTGCGACCAGGTTGTGGAGTAAACTGCACAGTAAGAGAAGCTTTATAATAACTCTTGTAACTGTCACTCTAATGTTTATTTTCTACTTGAGAAAATGATGTGGGAAAGGAAACAAAATATGCAAGAATTGCGTCTCTCATGGTTCGGATCTAATTCAACCTAAAAGAAAAAAAAAATGAAGTTTTAGTATTGAGTGTCAACTGAGAAAAATGCACAAAACTAAATAAAAAATTGGGACACGGAAGTTGGGGGACTGAGAGAGTAAATAAAATCTGTATCTTTTGTGGAAAAGAGATTGCCAAAAGTTTGGATTTATATCATTGTTGTTAAAACTGGACTGGTCGCTGAACCGGTGAAGGCACCGGTCTGGTCAGATCAGTCAAATAAATAGATAAATAAACAGAAAAATACATGAAATTTAAAAATTATATAAACTTTAGGAATACCAGAAAAAAAAAGAAAATTCAGAAAAATTTAAAAATTGTTGGAACAAACATTGAATCATAACACGTCATATGTGCATATCTCAATCAATTCTCATGATGAACTCCAGTAACTCATCAAACAACATTTTCCAGAATTGCATTTTGGCATTAAAGAAAAAAAAAAGTATGAAAAAATAATTTTTTCACATAAAAATAAAATAAATGGCAATACTATCCATAATATGGAATAAATTTTGTCTACCATTGAAGTGTTAAAAAGCCAAAGATAAAATATAAAAGAAAATCAAAACAAAAACCACAAAGAACCTCATATTTATAGTAAAAAATGAGTATAAGCTACCGTATAACCAAAAACCAACAATGGTAGGCTTACTAAAGCGTAAGCAACCATTAAGTTGAATACAAAAACAACATTTTGCTTAGATTTTGAACAAAAGAAAGAAAGCAAAAATCATTTCCTGCAAAAACCCTGAACTCAAAATTTTTTCTATTTATGCAAATATAAAACAAACAATCCAAAAACAGAGTTTAATAAATTTACTTTTTTGTTGAAATAGGGCAGATTGCTCTGCGGTATCCTCCCAAATAGTTGCTGGATTTTTGTGAAAGAATTGGGAGCTTTACCCCTTTCTTATTTTTTTATTTTTAATTTTAATTTTTTTGGTGGGGGTGGAGTGGGGGAGGGGGGGGGGGGAGAGGGAGAGTAAAAATCGCCTAAGCAGCTCTTTCTCGCTAAAAATTTACTTCGGTATGAAATCTTCTATTTCCCTCAGAGAGAAATTCTCTGATTTATATCTCGACAGCAATTCTGGTTTCTAAAGCGGAAAATAACTGTTGCTTTTCATTTATATTTTTAATTATATATGCGTCTAAAACCTTTCCTTATTTAAAATAATGTATGGGAGGGAGGTAGGTGTCATGTACTTGTAAGCAATGATTTGCACAGGTGTGCGCACGCATGCATGCACACACACACACACCTACAAAGAAAAGGCGGAGGTGGGGTGAGGGGTAGGGGACTGGGAAGGCAGGGCATGATTGAATGTTTGATCTTCATGGACATGGATACAAGATTTTCTCTCTGTGTGCTTTCCAAAAGTTCCATTTCATGTTTATAATTTTCTTTATGTTAATCATGAAAATCCAGATGATTGAAAAACTGTCTGTAAGAGCCCCAAATGGTGAGACCAAAATTAAGATTTTGACTGCAATAGCCAAGGAGCATAACATTGACTGGGACCCTGCTGCAGCTGAGGAGCAAATTATTAAAACTCATGAAGACTTGCTTGTAAGTTTTCATGGAAGTAGCTTGACTGTCTTTCCCGGTTAGAATTCAAATGAAATGCATACTTATCTGAAAAAGTTTAATATTTTTCCTACTCACTACATTCATCATCTTGATTGGGCAGGTTGGATCAAACAAGTTTGTAAGTTCTGCTAATGTCTCTGTTCAACCATCAGATCTTGAGTTCCCATCCCCTCCAACTCAAAAGCCAGTACCAGCATCACAATTGCCCCAGGATGAGGCGAGAAAATCACCTGCCAGTTCTGAAACTTTTCGTTCTGGTGAAACGATGTCTCCTCACAGTACCATGCGTAGCGACCCGCCTCCTACTGAACCAAGGCCTCCAGGTAATAAATGGGGGACTTCAAAGTGGCATTTTGTTATTTGATGTATGTGTGTTAAGGAAGCCCCACCCCCCCGCCCCACCTTTCTCTCTATCTGTTGTGTGTGTCCAAATGCGTCCACATGCCAACTATCACAGGAACAGTTTCTCTTCTTTTTCGTCTCCAAGTTTTCCCTTTCTCCATAGATTTCCTTTTCTTTCTTAACCTGCCCATTACAGGCAAAAATGTCCTTGTGGACAATACACCAACCAAGAAGCCTCCCCTATCTTAGACCATGTTCAAGTGTAGTCCTATATCCTGCAGGTTCTTCTTTCTCCATTGGTGGTGTGCATCCACATGACTGTGTGGACATGCACATATACCTGTGTGGAGAGAGAGGGAGGGAGGGAGGGAGGGAGAGAGAGGGAGGGAGGTAGTATTCACATTTTCATCTCAATCTCGCTCGTGCTATCCCTGGTTTATGCAGATAATAGAAGTGAAATTAGAGAATCCAGATTCTCATCTTTCGAGGAGGGGAACAAAACTTCATTGAACCGCCATGGATGGAACATGGAATTCAAGGATGCAGCATCTGCTGCCCATGCAGCTGCCGAATCAGCAGAGAGAGCGAGCATAGCTGCTCGTGCTGCTGCCGAGCTCTCTATTCGTCCTAGAACTCAGCACCCTATGGAACCATATGCCCAAACAACTTCCTCTACAATCAATCTTTCTAACCAATGGGGGCAGAGAGAGAATGAGAATATTGGTAATGAAAGTGTTGCTAGAAGTCATAGCAAATCTAGCTCCCATGGCTCTAGTTCAAGTATTACTGAAGATGACATTCATACTCAAAACATAGATGTTCTTTACCGAAAACCCTTTTCGGGTATGAAACCTGGCTGCAGTAAACCTGAGGTGGATGAAATGAACGAATATAGAGAGGGCAAGAGTGAAAGTGGGTCTCAGTCCTCTCAGCCTAGTTTCACTAATGATTATGGGCATGGGAAATATCCTAAAGAAGCTGAACAATCTTCCTTTATATCTAGTATCCCTGATGATGGCTATCCTAAAGAAGCTGAACAATCTTCCTTTATATCTAGTATCCCTGATGATGGCTATCCTAAAGAAACTCAACAATCTTTCTCTAGTTTCAGTAATCCTGATTATGGACATAGAGATTATGCTGAAGAAACTCAACAACCTTCTTCAAGTTTCAGTAAGCGTGATTATGGACATGAAAATTACGCTAAAGACACTGAACAACCTCCCTCTAGTTTCAATGACCCTGATTATGGGCATGAAAGCTACTCTAAAGACACTCAACAACCTCACGATCATTTCATTACCCATTATGGACATGGAAGTTACCCTCCAGAAACTCAACAACCTTCACCTCGATTCAGTACCTCGGATTATGGACATAAAGATTATCCAAAAGAAACTCAACAGCCTTCTTCAGTTGATCACTCATCTGTGGTTTTCGATGATTCCAGTTCAGAAAGTGATGCACATATCATACCAGAGGGGAATGACAGTTATAAATTTGATTATGACAAATTTGATCAAGGAAAGCTATCTCCTACTCTCTCCCTGGATTCAGAATCGCGAGGCCTAAAGGACCAGAAGGGTGCATATTCAGGAAGTTCTCCTTTTCATTCTCTGGATTCTGACATTTGGGGTCCCAAAGAACAGATGGCTGGATATTCAGGGAGTTCTATTCACTCTCAAAATTCAGACCCTTGGGGGCCGAAGGAGCAGATGGCTGGATATTCTAGTCAGAGAAACACCCATCTTAAAATGGATTCTGCTGGAAACGAAAATTCTCCTTTTGAGCCATCTCACATCACTCCAAAACCTGAAATTAAGCGACCATCTAGGGATCGGTCCCCTGTGGTTTTTGATGACTCAGATGCAATGAGTTCTGAGAGTGAAGAGGAAGTTCATATGTATAAGCCAGGTGAAGAAATGGAAGCCAAAGGCCCCAAGGAAACATTGGAGGACAAGGGCTCTAGCAAGAGAGAGAGCTTAGAGAGCGAGGGTGAGCTGAAACTGGGAAAAGTAGTGGGTGGCCTGAGGAACAAGCCTTTTGTTCGGCCCCCATATGTAAAGCCTCCCGTGAACACTGATAAACCAGCTTCTATAGACTCTCCCAAGACTTTTACTTCCTCAGAAAAAGCTCATAACCAGGATAGAGAGCACAAGAATTCACAGGCCGGATCTTTCAAGAGAAAAACCAAACTCAGTGCTCCTCGAGTTCCTAATTATTTTGATTCAGAGAGCGAAGATTCCGAATCTGAATCCTTCATTAGACCTGTCGAAGTTAAGAGTTTTACTGGTGGAAAGATTTCTCATAGGACTGCACGGTCGAGGGATTCACAATTAAAACCCAGCGACCAACCTGGGAGCAAACAAGAGTTGTCTTATGCTGGAGATTCTATTTTGAGTAGCAGTAGTTTGAGAAAAAATTTCAATCAGCCTAATCCATCTGTTTGGGTTGCACAGGACGTGGTGGGTTCTAGTGATAACGTGAGAACAAGATTATCGCAGGTTAATCTTTCAGCTGAACAGCCTCTAAGGCCTCTGCCTGAGAGAGAATATGCAGAGAAGGAAACTATGAAACCATATTCTTCTAGTGAGAGAAAGAGTTCTAGTGTGGCAAACCGAACATCGCAACTGTATCCAGGCGAACAGCCTGTAAAGAAACCATATACATCTAGTGAGAAAAAGAGTTCTACTGTGGCAAACCAAACGTCGCAACTGTATCCAGGCGAACAGCCTGTAAAGCCTCTACCTGAAAAGAAGTACGCAGAGGCCAGGGAAGCGCCAAATCCATCGACCTATAGTGAGAGAAAGAGTAGTAGTGCGAGAAACAGGCCATCCCAATTGAATGAACAGCCTGCGATGCCTGTGCCTGAGAAGAAGGTTACTGAGACCAAAAAAAGTTCAAAACCATCGGGCTCTAGTGAGAAAGTTGAACCCGCCAGAGTTTCTTCGCATGTCCACCCAAAGTTACCTGACTATGACAAACTAGCTGCACAGTTTGAGTCACTGAGAAAAGACCGGCGTTCATCTTAGAACGGTTTCTGTTTGTCTTAGATCTATCGTGAGAATTTGAGTTTTAATAATCAGTTTGTTTCACATTTATTTGTAATATTGGTTGGAAGAAGAGAGAGGTCTGTTTCACATTTATTTGTTATATTGGCTGCAAAGAGAGAGAGAGAGAGGGGGAGCAAAATGGGGTTGTGGGATTTGAAGATGAGAGGGACGAAAGTTTTGGAGCCTGAGAGAAGTTTTAGAGAAGACGTAGTCCAACAGGTTTCCAGTTACTTGTTAGTCTTGAACCATATATCGTTGCCAGTTCTCTCTCTCTCTCTCACCCCTAGGAGATCAATTGTTAATATTTTACTCATCTTTTGATTTAATATCAATCAAAATATCTATCAAAATACATGCGAAAACAAGTTCAAATAGGTGAAAAACAATGAATTATTAACTTGCTAAAAAGTTTTGGTTTTTTTTTTTTTTTTGACAAATTTCTTGATTGTAAAAAATCCCATTGACATGATTTTTAAAAAGAAATTGTTTCATGCAGGCTGGACTGCAATTCTTCATGTATGGTCCCAAAGTATAAGGCATCCATCTTAAAGATGAATGCAAGTCGGTGTTCCATCAAAAAGCATTGGAAACCAATGGTTCAAATGTTTTTTACTAAAAATATTATTTTTAGTTTTTAAAATTTATTTATTTTTTCATATTTAAGATCTCTATGTTAGTGATTTTATGTCTTTAAAAATTAAGTCTTAAAATCCATCCCAAAAATAGATTTATTAAGAGGCCTGTATTTCCACATATGCAGGCTTGGCCGCATAGAAATTGGGTCTTTTTTTAAATTTAGTCGTGGGAAGTCGTGGAAAGCATAATCACAGCAGTGTGAAAAACCTCATGATGAGAATATGCTTATACCTGAGTAAATCAATTATCTGTCAACAAACGTCATGGCATGTTAGTCAATTGCACCTTCATGACCAAGTGTCAGTCAATTGCACCTTCATGACCAAGTGGGAGACACTGGCGTGATTTTTTTTATATAAAATAAGAGTCCTAACTTGGAGTTGGTCTTATAATTTTTTGGCTTTTTATGCATAAAGTAGCCAATTTCGAGATTCAAATCCATGCTCTTGTGTTGGCTATCCGAGCTTTTTGCCGTCACACAAGTGATGGCCCCTTGTGTAATAATTTATATTAAATAATTTTTATAAATTTTATTATGTAATAATTTATATTTATTTTATAAAAAACTAGTAAAAAAGAAAATATCTACAGTGAATAACCTACAACCAGCCTGATTTTTCAAAGGAAGTTTTTTCACCCAAGTGGTTGAGGAAATGCATACATTGATGGAATGTAGATAACAACTTGGGAGAGGTTTGCAGTTAAGGAGGGACTGGAGATAATGATTATTAGTGGGATAACGCACATTGCAGGAAGCAATACAATATAAAAATAAAGAAATATTCAAAAGAAAAAATAAATTATCAATATGATTTGCATATAGTTATACGTGGTTAAACTGTATTGGAAAAGGAAAATAAAAATATAATGGACATGAATTCAAAATATCAAAATATTATATTTTAAAAATAAAACATTGTGAAGTATTTCATTTTTTCTGACAGGTAAGTAATTGTTAAGTATTTCTTTCCGAGCATATATGCTATGCGCCCTCGATAGCATAGTTTACTTCTACTCCGTAGGTCAGAAGTCTTACTTGGGAGGATTTCTTCAATATGAAACTTTGTGAACTACTTAAGAACTACTAGATGAATATTCTAAAATAATAATAATAATAATATAAAAAAAAAATGAGTTTTCTAATATTTAGATCTCATCAACTAAAAGTTGGATGGTTTCAATCTCAAAACATTATTTTTCTTTATTGCATAGAGGGTACAATTAGGAAATGTTTTTTATTGACGTTAATCTATGGTTTGAAGATGGTACACCAAAATTTGTGGACCTAAAATTATTGGTTTTACCTGAGGGGGTAAATGGACAATCTACTCCCCATGGGAGTAGAACATCTTTTGGCTTTTTGAATTATAAGATTTAATTTTTTGAGTACTTAATGAGAAAAAAATTATTTAAATTCACTGGAAGAGCTTGGTTCAATTGAAAAACCTTTAATTAGATCATCTCTACCTCAGGATATATAGAAATGAGAAAAAAATAGATTTCAAATTTTGGAAATAATGCATCTTATGATGTATTATTTCAACCGTCTATTTTCAAGATGTTCAAGTATTGATAGATCTGCTCGATTTACTCTATTTTTAATCTTTAAAATTTACAGTTAGAGCTTAAAATAAATTTTCAGACCATCAAAAAGATTTCTGATACCGAAACAATATATTTTAGCAATATTTAATGATGCGCCTTACTTTGATTGGTTAGGGCCCAGTCTTATATAAACTACACCCATTAATAATTCATTGCCAAAAAATTAGAAATTGCTGCAAATTGGGTCTAAAGGACAAAAATTTAGTGAAAAGAATAACTTATTTACAAGTATCTAAGAGTTCTTAAAAAGAATAAATGTATTTAAGTTTTTTTGAAAGCTCTTCTCATGAGCTTGAAAAAAATAAAGAAAACAATTGCAAAATTCATGACTTGTAATTTAAATTACTCAGGCGTTACAGTAAATATAAAAATATTCATATTATACTGCTAATAATGTGATGATGATGATAACCCAAATGATTGCTTACTCTGCATGTGTATACTATCCATCTATTCCATAGGATAAAACTTGCATTAGGAATATATATTATATCCCAAATTCTAGGGATGTGATCTCTAGACAACCAACCTCAAAAAAAAAAAAAAACTCCTACTCCCTATATGCCTAAAAAGAATGGCATCCAAAGATTGCACACTACAACTATTTAATTTTTGAAAGGAATGTTCAAGAACTCAAAATTCAAAATTTTCTTTTGAAAATAATCATTTAGTTATAGTTAAATGTATTTCAAAATTTCAAATAAAAAAGAAAAAAAAATCTCCTGAGTAAGTTTTGTGCCCTGAGAAGTAAATATATAGTATGCTCCTAAGGGAGCATATTATACATGCTCTAATAATAATAATAATAATAATAATAATAATAATAATAATAATAATAATAATAATAATAGTAATCATCATCATCATCATCATCAAATTGGATTAGTCAAATATATTTAATGGAGAATATTAATATTAATATAGTTTTATTGTAATGTACTTATAAAGTTGAGGTTCTAAACAATCAAAGTAAGGTGCATCTTGAAATAGCGTCGAAAGATGTTATTTCCTTACTGAAAATTGTTGTGATGACTTGAAAATTGACTTTCACATCTTATTATAAAATTTAAAGCTTAAAAACTAGTGTACATCGAGCAAATCTATCAACACTTGATAATCTTAAAAATTGATAATTCATAAAATATACTAGGGGAAATTATAGATACCACAAAAAAAGTTTCGGTCCGGCAAAAAAACGTGCTGGACCGCATTGGATTCTAGTTACTTTCACATGCCCACAAGGCGGTCCAATACACTTTTGTTATGGATCAAAAAACTTTTTGCAATCCATCACGTTTTTGTGCCAGACCGAAATTTTTTTTGTGGTCTGGCGAGCATGTGAGTGGTAGAGGTAGAGAGAGAAAAATTGAGGGAGGGTAAAGAGAGAGAGATAGAGAGAGAGAGGGTAGAGAGAAAGATAGATAGAGAGAGAAAGGGTGACGGAGGGTAGAGAGAAAGAATAAGGGAGGGTAGAGAGAGATAGAGTGAGGAAGGTTAGAGAGAGAGAGAAAAAGTGTGAGGGAGGTTAGAGAGAGATAGAAAGAGAATAGGGTAGAGAGAGGATTGGTGAGAGTTTTTTTTGGTAACTAGAGAGTGCGAGAGTTTGTGAGAGAGAAATATAAAAAAAAATATGTTGAAAAAAGAAGAGAGGGAACAAAAATGGCATTTTGGTCTCAAAATGCTTTGACTATTTGAGTGGGCAGGTAAATACAAGAAAAAGTAAGGTTGGAGTTTAAGGATAGGATGTGTAGAAAGTTGAAATTCGAGGGATATCTATAAATTTCCCAATATATTACATGATACACCGTTTCCAAGACTCAATCCATTTTTTCTAATAGTCATACCTTTTGAGGTCGAGATGATTGATTTGATGATTTTTTAGTATTCAATTTTATTTTATTTTTGAAAATAATCATCTAGTTATAATTAGATGAATCTTGAAATTTTTAAATAAAAAAAGGAAAAAAAAAAGGAAAAACTTCTTTAGTGTTTTGTCCAAGAGAATAAATGTATAATATACTCACCAAGGGAGCATAGTATGTGTGCTCTATATAAATATTAATTAGTGTAATGTTTATAATGGTGTAATGTTTATACCACTATACTATTAAAAAATATAATTTATTTATGGGAAAGTATATAATGAGATCATTTACCTTTGATACAAGATGACCACAATTCATTTTGGCCATTGGATGTGAAATTGAGTAGTTGCATTTATTTCATTGACCAAATCAAAGTTCGAAAGATTTTTTTCTAACTTTGTCACACACCCAAGCTATCAGATTTTACATCGAATGGTTGTAAGTAATTGTGATCCCCCTATACCAAAGGTAAATGGTCACATTGTATACAATCCCTCTATTTATACAATATAATGTAATTTATTATAATATTAAATGAATGATAATAAGTATTATAATTATATTTGTAATAAATAATGTAGTTAATAATCAATCACGAATAATGTCACCATTAACACACCCTTGATATTAACATTATTACTAGCATAAAAAATATTGGCATTATGAATATTATTAAGATGTCCAGGTTAATGAACATTATTAGCATTATTGTTAAATAAATTATTACTTGCTAACCTTAAAGTTATAATTTATAATTACATGTAATAATAATATTTACCCTAATTATTTCATTTAAAAATTATTATAGACACCCATTATTAACATTATTAATTTTCTTGTAGATTTTATTACATTAGTTGAATAACATTTATTGGTTTATGATTGAATTTATATGAATAATGAAATTTTGTACATTATTAATTTACAATTTTTTGAACATTTATTGTTATTTAGCAAATAATTATTAGATAACATAATATATTTTGTTAAGTATGTAGGTTTTAAATTCTTGTTGATAAGGACGAAATAAAAAATTCTCCAAAAAATTTATGGAGTAATTATCTTCTTGCAAAATTTGTTATTAAATTAAAAATATTG